CAACACCAAACCAAAATGTAGGGTTTCGTTGAAAGCAATACATAGATATAGACGTAGAAGTAAGAGCTGAATAAGCCTCGACAGTTAAAACCCTAGAGTTTGAATCCAAGAAGAGTGGAGCAACGAATTGGAATTCGAGGGAGAAGAAGACAAGAAAGATTACCGAGGAAAATTAAGGTGCTGAAAGGACAGATCGGCAAAATATCTTCTGTAGCTCGCGAACCAAACAACGCGCGATGGAGAAGACCCTCCCCGTTGAAATATCAATACAGATCAAGAAAACGATAAGTGCGCCGAAATATCTCTCTCTTTTCTCTCCGTATCAAAGTCTCTCTGTGTGTTCTCTTCTGTTATGTCTTGCTCTGCTATTTTTCTCTCGCTCGCTCGCGTTCTTGTTCTTGGTCTGAAAGACGAAACCTTCGTGCTTTTTTTTATTATTATTTTTTATATTTTTTTTTACCGATCTCTGCCCTTTTTATATTATTGGCAGAGTGAAAAAGAAACTGAAAGCACGGGAATGCCCCCCGGAGCCTCGTAGAGAAATCGATATGGGATTATGTTTGTTTCTACCCGTCGGCTCGCTGTTTTGTTCCTGTAACTCAGTCACTCGGTTGAGTCAGCCAATGACTCGGTTGAGACTCCGGTAAGGGTGTTTTAGTAATTTCGGGTAATCCGTGGGGTTTATGAAAATTGGGAAGGAGATTTTGGTAAATGTGTAAACGTTTTGGCGCTCAACTTGCTTTTGGGGTGGGGGGGGGGGGGGGAACATATTTTTCAGGGAGGCTAACGGGGATTGGTTAGGAGAGGGAGAGTACAAATCCCGAGGTCAATCCAATTTTTTTAACTTTTGGGCTTTTGGAATTTTATTTGTAGCCCAAAATATTTGGGAATTACAAATACTTTTATGATATTTCAGTAATATTATAATCTGGCCCATATCCAGGATCTAACGGCCCAGAGACTTTTTTTTAAAAAAAAAAAAATTAGATTAGTTATTGAAGTTCACATATTAAACAATTATAATTTTTTTATTTTAATGATTGTAACACGTGAAGTGAATCAAATTTTAAAAATAATTATACGTTTTTTGTTTAAGTTTTAAAATATAAAAATAAAATTAATATAATAATTATAATTATATATATCAAATAAAATAAAATTTTAATGGACTATAAATAATACATTCTCCTAATTTATAAATTTAACATATATAATGGTTATCTATTTAAATTTTTTCTTTTTAATATAAAAATAAAAATTTCAATGTTAAATTACATATAATTTATTTGTTGTATAATTAATTTATATAAACATGTGTAATATGGGATAGAGATTTTAGTGATCTAAAATTAGAGTCACTTAAAAATATATTACAAACTAAACCAAATTTGAAAACCACTACTTGCATTTTGTCCAAGATCCGGCCCATAACACTATAAAAGAGGTCCATAAATCGGTCTTTCTAGGTGAAACCAAGCATTTCAACATTAAAATCCCAGCCTAATTAATTTTTCTTTCTTGATTAAAAGAAAATGTAACTAAAAAAATGTGAGCGATTAGAATTTGTACCCAAAAAATATATATATTAAATTCACTTTCAAAATCTAATGCTTGTTAATTACATAATTACAAAATCAATTCGGAAGTTTTGTACTTGTTATAGTATGATCACAAATACTTTTTATTATAATTTATTTCCGATATTTTTTTAATATATCCAATTTTCTTTACTTTGTAAAAAAAAAATTAAAAAATTAAATTATTTTTATATACTTTAAAGAACAATTCAAAAAATGACTAGACTGCGTGTGACCTAGTTTCCTTTTATTTTATAATAAAAATGTTTAGATTATATTTGAATACTTTAAAACACAGTTTTAAAAATAATTTTAACAATTTAATTAAAATAATAAATATGACATATTTAAATTATATTATTCGTTAAAATTAATTTTTAAAACATGTAAATATGATGTAGTTATTTTAATTTTTATATTAGAAAATAAAAAAATTAACCGTTTACAATAAATAAAAAAAATAGAGAAAAAAAAAAAGACAATTGCAACTATAAGCTTTGTTCTCTATTGGTTAACTTCATCTGTTGGGAAGTGCTTCATACAATGGATTCTCATTAGTGTTTTAGTTAGCTCTCTCTCTCTCTCTCTCTCTCTATATATATATATATATATCTATCTATATGTTGTGATTTCGGCAGATCACTCAATAATTTCAAACACAATAAGTTAATTAAGCACATAATAATTGTAATTAATTAACACCATCCTTACTGGCTACTTAAATTCTCCATCAACATTACAAACAGTTGAATATAAACTTCCATATACATGCAGCTCTCTATATCATCAGACCTAAATCGAGGGTGAAAATAACTATGTTAATTGCCTGACGTCACTAGTTTCATTAATTATTTTTAATTAGGTATCAGATAGTTTCATTATATATATATATATATATATATATATACCTCCATGCTAACTTGAGAAATTATCTTGAATAAGGTAAGCTTAAATTTTGGTTATCAATCACAAATGCATTTGATCTCTTTTATAATTATTTGATTGCAGAGAAGAAAATAAAATAAAAACTTTTGAGTCTCGTTATTTTTTATACTTTTTATTAATATTGATAATGAATATATCTGTTAGTAGTAAATAAACGATAAATCTCGTATATATTAATAGTAGACATGTGATAATAGAATATATATAATTAAATTAATATTATTTATACTATCGTCAATAATTATTTATTTATTTAATTATTAACAAGAATTTATAAATAACATAAATTGAATATAGAGTTAATTTAGAATTAAAATATTATTTTAACTCAAAATTTTATTTCTATGTGTTATATGTTTAGTATTATAACAGTTTAATAATATATATAATTAAAATTTGAAGAAAACTAACATATATTAGAACGAACAGTTTAATAACTGTTTAGTTCAATCGATGTACACAATATATAGATAAATATTATATGTATATATATATATTATAGAGCAAGCAACGAATTCATGCAGATGCAGATAAGGCGATGACGATACATGAGTGAAGACAAGTGGAAGAGCTTAACATGAAAGTAGAAAGAACTTTTATTTTTACTTTTACAGTTTTACCTGCAAAGGAATGCACGTACGTCATCGAAATATTTTCATGGCTTGTCTACATAATATTGGTTATATGTGATTGAGACGTGTCCCAAACATACATGCAGTAGTTTGCCTGCAGTAATAATAATTATTTACATTAAGAAAATACAAATTAATTATATCAAAATTTTAACTTATCATAACTACTTCCAATTAACAAAATATATATATATATATATATACATATTTTTTATTATCACCTAAAGACATAAATTTTTAATTTTATTGAATTAAATCTCAACATTAATAATAATAAATATTAAAATTCAATAATTTCAACAGTGACGGTATGATTCCAAAATCTGGTAATGATTTAATGGTACTTTTCACTAGATTGATGAAACAAATGAGCAAATAAAAAATCAATTGTTTAATTATGAAACAATTCCATGCTTGTGTTTTTATATTATTGTGAAAGAAACCTAAAACCTGTCTTTCTCCCAATAGGTCCACTTTGTCTCTAGTTGTGTCATCACGTGGCACGATCAATCAAGATTGTGTATGTTCGTATACAATATCCATGCATGTGGAAAGATTTTTTTATTTAAATATGTACATATATGTTTTTATGTAAAGGTCGAGTTTTTTAACATAATTTAACTCAGAATATAAGAACTATTATATTCTTATAAATAAAAAATATATATACTAATTATTCAGTTAAATAATAATTAATGAATTATTTTAATTTAAAAAATTAATTTATTTTATGTTGGATTAAAGTTTAACTAAAGTTAATTTAATTGATTTATTTAATTTATGTGTAGTACCTTAGAAATCACAATACATTATATTCTATTAATTAATATAATTTTGCAATAAAAATAATTTCTTTTTTTTTATATTAACAAAGAAATGACGACAGTGTGCCACTCAAATCAACATGATTTAATGAAAAGAAGTAAAAATACCCATTAAAATTGGTGGTCGAAACTTAAAAGATTAATTACTTTGAGTGAAGCATATATATGATGATAAGAGGGCATAATTAATTAACACTAAACTAAAATAATTAATTGGTAATTGGTGTAAATTGGACAAAAGAATGGCCGGCCAAAGACAGCTTCTTTGACCTACTCTTTACTCTTTGTTCACTATATGTTATTGTCTCTGCCTCACATATAGTGAAGATATGGATCTGGCTTTGATGGCAATCCGCCAAATTAGCTCAAATCAGACTGATGGATATAATTAACTTTTGCCTTGGCAACGCAAAAAAATTGATTAGATTAAGTTCATTGTTAGCAAACTTATTAAAGGTAAGTTAATTATTTTACTTTTTATTTATTTATTTATTTTTTAAGTATAAAATGCATATACATATATTAATTATAATATAATACAAATAACATCTATAATTATTTAAATTTATAATTTTTTAAAAGATAATACGAGCTGCTAACAAAGATTTTCTAAAAATGTTTTAATAAGTTTGCAAAAATTTGTAGATAACAATGAAAAGGAAGTTGATTTAGAGAAATGTATATAACAATGATGCATAATCAGCTAGGGGTTTCCTAACAATATCTTCCATCTATTTTCCAGTATATATGTGTGTGTGTGTGTGTGTACACACACATATATATATCGATATACTTATATATATTATGTAAATACACACGTCCAAATACCGATAGACTCACATACACACGTGTAGTTGTAAGATATATAATAAAAAAGTGGCGGAAGTTAAAGTAACCAAATAGAAATTCTCTGCATGCATGTACGGCGACATTAATTATAAATTAAACCATAGTTTATGATAATCGGTATCCAAAAATAATTTATTTCATGAATAAATTTTATAATATGAATACTAGTACCTTTCACCAACAATATATATTGCCTCAGCCTAGCAGATTAACTTCTCTCAACTCTCTCTCTCTCTCTCTCTCTGCCACCAGACAAACATACAATTAAAAATCAAAAGTCATGTATTGTTCTACTTTCTCAACATGATAAATCTTGAAAACTCCATCGCCATTACGGCCGCATATAAACCCTAGCTACCTACCTCTTCTTCAATCCCATCCATCAGTATATATACATACGTTACACACTCATACTTGACTTCTCTGCAATTCCGTTTTCATGGCTTCCCAATAGAGAAATTCAGCAATAGTATTCATCCATGCACGTCAAACCCACAAAACCCTAATTCTATCTCCATCAGTGTATTTACTTACAGCCATGAAAACTGAACTAAGAGGAAATGCAAGGACGTCGTCACTTTCTCCACAAGGTTCCTTGTTCAATTCCCCAGCTCAAACCTCTCTCTCTGGAGCTCTAAGAGGATGCCTTGGCAGCCTCGACGGCGCCTGCATAGAGAAGCTTCTGCTTCACTGCGCCAGTGCCCTCGAGACAAACGACGTCACTCTGGCTCAACAAGTCATGTGGGTGCTCAACAATGTCGCTTCCTTCACTGGCGACCCTAATCAAAGGCTTGCCTCCTGGTTCTTGAGGGCACTCATATCTAGGGCAGCTAGGGTTTGCCCAACCACCATGAGCGCAACCACTTTTAACGACGGAAGCAGTAGTATTCAGAGGAGACTAATGACGGTGACTGAGCTTGCCGGGTATGTCGATCTACTACCTTGGCATAGATTCGGGTTTTGTGCAGCCAATAGTGCCATTTTTAATGCAATTCAAGGTTACCCAAAAGTTCATATCTTAGATTTCAGCATCAGTTATTGCATGCAGTGGCCTACTCTTATAGACGCTTTGGCAAAGAAGGCTGAAGGGCCTCCTTCGGTTCGAATCACAGTGCCCTTTTGTAGGCCACCTGTGCCTCCCCTGCTTAATGTATCGAGTGAAGAAGTCTGCCTTCGCCTAAAAAATTTCGCCAAGTTCAGAGATGTCCCGTTTGAGTTCCATATTCTATTTGCAGACAGTCCGATTCTATCTCCATCTCCATCTTGTCATGATCATCCCGCTAGCTTTTCCTTCGAATCACTAATGACCCACTTGACTCCTTCTTCTCTAAACCTCAGAGACGATGAAGCCTTAGTGATAAACTGCCAAAACTGGCTTCGTTATCTTTCCGACGAGCAAAATGGAGGCTTTCAAGATCATGCTTCTTTAAGAGACGCCTTCCTGAATCTAATTAAAGACCTGAACCCTTGTGTTGCAGTGGTGGTGGACGAGGATTGTGATCTCATTTCATCAAGTTTATCGACAAGAATCACCACTTGCTTCAACTACCTATGGATACCCTTCGACGCTTTGGAGACCTTCTTGCCTAAAGACAGCAGCCAGAGAATGGAATACGAGTCAGACATCGGCCATAAAATCGAGAACATCATAAGCTTCGAAGGCTCGCAGAGGATAGAAAGGTTAGAATCAGGGACTAAACTGTCTCAGAGAATGAAAACCGCCGGGTTCTTCAGTGTTCCGTTCTGTGAAGAAACAGTAAAAGAAGTAAAGGATTTGCTAGACGAGCACGCAAGCGGCTGGGGGATGAAGCGAGGAGACGACACGTTAATGCTCACATGGAAGGGTCACAACTCGGTTTTCGCCACCGCTTGGGCCCCAACCCTGAGCGAGTTAGACGACTAAGTGGCCATGGAAATGGGTTGAGTGGTCCATTGTGATTGGAAATTGACAAAAGAAGGGGCCGGAGGTTGCTTTTTTGTCTTTGTCAAAAGGCTGCAAATTGGCATAAGACAGGAGGAGCCTAGGAGAAAACGAAACATAAGATAATAATAAAGCATTAAGCTCGATCGGCTCGACTTATTCTATAAGCACTTATCTTTTAGATTTTAAATTTCAAAAAATTTCAATCTAACAGATAATGTAACGAGCTAGCTTCATTTGGCAGCAAGACTATCGTCTACCACCTTTGCAGATGAGCTCTCTCGTATTGTGATCACATGAAAGGCAAACGACAGATCAGAAGAAAAATGTACGTAAATTTGTCTTTGTTTGAAGACAAGATCTTCTATCACTTCGTTTTCCAATCTTCACTGGGCTTCAGAAAAAGCAGAACTTTCTTTTTTAGTCTCCATAATCACTGAGTTCCATAATGATCTTCATCATATTCTTATCTAAAATGTAATGGAGATGACCTCTAACTTTAACAGTAAGTAATCAATCCATTTATGATATTTGATTTAGTAAAAAAAAATAATTATTTAAGTTATTACTAATAAAATTATATTTAATTTTAATAAATAAATTATGTTATTGGGTGAAAGAAATATCTTATGCGATTATATTTCTTTAATTAATGTAATCACAACGGATAGAAAACGAATCTAATATTCTTTAATTAAAAAAAATCCAGATTAAACTTAGTTTTTACGTCCCACTACAACTTCTGCAGGCTCCTTGTCTCTTCTCTTGTTTTGGAACGTTAACAAAAGAGTTCTCTAAACTATATATAAATAAATGCCATTTTTAGTACACTAATAATTATCATTTACTGGGACTTCAGTTGTACAAATTGATTATACTCTATTACAAATGTAATATATCTATTTTAAATTTTATTGCTATCTAAAATAAATTAAAACAAAAATATTATAACTTCATTATACCGATATGAATAATTACACTTTTAAAAATTATCTAACGAAAAAATATATACAAAGCTCATTCGAGAATAACTTTATTGCCCCATAAATATAAATAAATATATATATATATATATATGAATGGTTTGAGACTATAATGAAATTAATTCATTATAAAAGTAATTAAACTAGCATATCTTATGTTTTTCATTAAGAAATTAACATCATTGCATTTAATTTCAGCTATCTGTAACTATAGTAAGATTGTCTTAAGAGCAAAATACCTAATTTTGATGTTAAAAGAAAGAAGAGGAAAAATTAGGACCACATTACGCCTTTTGTTTCTGACTTCGGCCTCCTTCATGCCATGGATGTCCAGCTAATGGTTATACATATGCGATGCACAACCCCAAATGTAGAATATGATCTTGACCATCCAACAAAATTATTGGCCTGGATTCATTTAATTATCATCGACCAATTTTTTTAA